CACCCACCCCACTGTATACTTGCCAGGAAATACTGACACTCAGAGCTCAGACCTGTTTTACTGGCCACACAGGAAACACTCGAGTTCTCTGAATTCGTCATGGTTACTAAAGACCACAGGAGCTCTCTTGCTTTTCACCTTTATCTTTTTATTTTGGTGCCAGTACCAGGGCTTGAACTCAGGGCTACATACTGACTTGGCTTTTTCGTTTAAGGCTGCTATTTGAACAAACCTTCACTTCCTGGTTTTTGCTGGTAAATTGGAAACGAGAGTCTCACAGCCTTTTCTGCCCTGGCTGGCTTCAATCTAGGATCCTCAGATCTTAAGTCTTCTGAAGTGGTAGGATTACAAGCATGAGCCATGGCTGCCTGGCTTTCATCTTTACCTTTCAAGATTTTACTCTGCATACCAAATGACAGCAGTCTTACCAACATAAAGCTTGGATGACCCATACAGGCAACAGATTTAGTAAAAAGTTGACATACTTTGGGGCTGGGAAGGTGGCTTAGTGGTAAAGTGCTTGTCTTGCATGCATGAGGCCCTGGGTTCAATTCCTCAATACCACATAAGCAGAAAAAGCTGGAAGTGGCATTGTGCTCAAGTAGTAAAGCACTAGCCTTGAGCTGAAGAGCTGAGGGACAGAGCCCAGGCCCAGAGTTTAGGCCCCACAATCAACCAAAAAAAAAAAAAAAAGTTGGTGCACTTGACTGTGAACGTGGACATTTTTTACCTTCCTAAATTCAGAATCTACCAGAATGGCCAGACCTTACATAAACATAAAGAAAGGAACCAGCTGGGTGAGCACTGGTGGCTCACATTTTTAATCCTAGCTATCTATATAGGAGGCTGAGATCTGAGGATTGCAGTTCAAAGCCAGTGTGCAGGAAAGTCCCTTAGAATCTCATCTCCAATTAGCTATCACACATATACACAAAAAAGGAAGTAGAGCTGTGGTTCAAGTGGTAAGAGCACTGGCCTTGAGCAAAAGCTCAGACAGCACCCAGGTTGTGAGTTCAAACCCCAGGACTGGCAAATAAAAAAAAAAGAACCAGCTAAATAAATAGCAGGGCCATAGACTCTCTACATCCTACCTTACTAAAAAGGAAACAGGTATAGCAATGTGGCTCTTGCAAGCACAGGAATTTAGGAATGTAAGATGATAAATGACTGTTTCCAGCTAGTCAAAACGACACTCAGTTGACTGAAAATAGTCATATGATCTTATAACATATTTCGTACTCCTTGAGAAAACCACCAAAATTTTTGAAGTATCTTTTTAATCTGCTGTATTTTGGAGCTGCAATAAATTGATATTTTTTCTCATTTACACAGTAGAAAAAGTCACATTACAGTTACAGGTATTTTAAATAAACTTTAAACCACAGCATTGTCTAAATATACTGTGCACACAAAAGTACAAATGGGAATTACACTTCAGTTTTTCAACTGAAAGTAAATGTGCTAGGCTAGGCTGACTGTTTTAGAATCACCAAGGAACCTCCTCCTGTCCAGGGTAGGATTCCTAGACAGAATAAGATGCTCATTCTTGGTTTACTCCAGCCATCTCTGCTTTTGGCTTTCTGCCTGATCTTTGGGTGTGGATGGTCTTAATGATTGAACTCAAGGCCTGGGCACTGTCCCTGAGCTGTTCTTGCTCAAAGCTAGCACTCATCACTTGAGCCACAGCTTTGTTAATTGGAAATAAGAGTTTTATATGGGCTTCCTTGCCCAGGCTGACTTCAAACCTTGATCATTAAATCTCAGCCTCCTGAGTAGCTAGGCTTATAGGTATGAGCCACCAGCTCCCAGCTAGATATTCTTTCCAGATACTCTCTCCAAAGAAAACTGTGATAACCACCCCCCCCCAAAAAAAAAACAACAAAAAAAACCATGAAACTCTATCTAAGTGATTTCCTTATGGATACAAGAAGTGAAGGCACCACTGGAGATCACTTACAAGAATCCTATTTTCCCTAATCATTCCATTATAAAAACTTTCCTTAGTAGTAAGAAGAATACAGCTATTGTCATTTAATGAGTATTTACTGATCACATTAGTGTGCCAGAAATTAGTTAGGTATTGAAGATTCAGTGAAGAACAAGTTGTACTTTGTGCCCAAGCTCACAGTAGTATAGACAGGCAAAAAGTAAATAAATAACAATAACAACAAAAACAAATACAAGATGAGGCTAGAGCTGTGAAGGAAAGAATCTAGATAATGCATTAGAGATGATGGGAAAAACCTATTCTGATATTGCTTATCAGATTCTATCTGCTGGTTCCTTGCCTTGTAGTTCAGGTTCAATTTCAAAGAGTCTCAAAGATTAATGCCTTTTATTTGTACTAAATTCCAAAAGCAAGGATAAGCTATGTCTGTATATGTGGTTTAAAAAAAAAAAAGGCCACCTGTATACACAATTTAAAATCTACATGAGAAAGGATGTCCTTTGGAAAAAATGTTTCACCATATGTTCACACCAAAAGAATTTAAAAAAATAATTGGAAAATTAAGCATCTTATGTAATGTTACTTTTTTGAAGCCAAACACTTAATTTGAAAGGAAAAGTTAGGTAGGTGCCAGTGACTCATGACTATAATCCTAGCTACTCATAAGGCTTACTTCTGAGGATCAGGGTTCAAAGCTAGGCCATGCAGGAAAGTCCCTAAGATTCCTATCTCCAACTAACCAGCAAAAAACCTTTAATGGAGCTGTGGCTCAGTGGTAGAGTCATCCATAAGTGGAAAAGCTTAGAGAGACAGTGCCTAAGTCCTAAGTTCAAGCTTCAGTACTGACTGACACAGAAAGAAAGTCAAAGTCATGAATTCTGGAAGAAATACTTTTAATAATACTTTTGTTTCTAAAAACAGAAAAATCCTGCCTATGAGAAATATATCAGACCACTGCTACAAAGTTGGAGAGCCAAGCTCTAAAGCAACCAACAGTGTTGGAGAAGCAGCAGCATAGTGGAGCCACAGCACACAAAATGAAATGGGAAACCCACACATACAAAAGGAAATATTAAATTACGTATTTCTAGAGTCGTCTTTGAAAATACGGTCTGAAGTATTACCAGTTGGAACAACATCTGGATTTACTTCAAAATAGTCCTTAGAAGGAAAAAGGGAGAGTATTGAATGTGATCAATAAACGGGCACCTGGGTGCTCACCATTTGCTCTGCTTTTGAGTGTGTCTGAAATTTCCTGTAATAAAAAATAGTACAATCTATTTAGTTAATCGTTAGAATTTTCTTTAAATATAGCAGAAGGCAATACACTTATTAGTTACCACTGTGTCTCTTCTTATCTACCGACTTAACTATATCTTTCTTTTTGTGGTGTTAGGAATTAAACCCACAGCCATGTGAATGTTAAACACTGAGCTACACACCCAGCCCACCTGGTCTTTAGCATTTATAGTAAAAGGATACACATCCTTACACACAGTCCTCCAAAGTACAATCTAAATACAACAGGGAGCCTTAAGAATGCAACTAAGAATTAACTTTGTCAACTCTCCTGGAGTAAAAGTGATTAAAATTTCATAAAAACAGACATAATTATCCCAATTTACACAAATATAATCAAGCTACATTCTTCCTATCATTTTCAATTACCCAACTAGATACAAAATTAAATGACATTTGACAAAATTGCAGAAAAAAAATCTCAGCTGTCTTACTTTTCCTAGTTTGTTCCTTAAACAGTTACCCCAAATAAACTTATTTCTAATAAGCTAGACAAGCAAGAAACCTCATCAGTTTTTAAGTTCCAAAAACATAATGTTATACAGTTTCCATGACTGTGCAACCCAAATCATTTTACTTCATATTTACTTGTTAGTTCCACAACTCCTACGAATCAGCTGGAGTCTGAAATAGGACCAATTTTCTAAAATGGTAACCTGGGATGGCTACATTGATCTACTGAAACCACAGGAACCTGTCAATAACATGAAAGATGGAGATAGTAAAATAGGAATCATAGGTTTCTACGTGTGGGTAACTTGTCAAATCTCAGAATAAAATCACACATACATGGGCAAAATTGAACATAAGTAAATGTTCTCATCTTCCTTTTGGAAAGAGAATCTGGAAATGTTCTGAGAGGAAAAAGAGTCACCTGCCTGCTCCACGGCCCACAGTCTCAGAACTGTGAAAACAGAAATTAAGTTAGAAAACAGAGAATAAGTTACATAACTTCCTTTAACAAGGCATTTTTGCAAACTAGGAAGTCTTACTCATTAAGAATCCCTTCTGTGGGTAACTTCCAAGAAACAGAATCCTGCCTGGTGCTGGTGGCTCATGCCTGCATCCTAGTTACTCAGGAGGCTGAGATCTGAGGGTTAAAGTTCAAATCCAGGCCCTGCAGAAAGTCCATGAGACTCCTATCTCTGACTAACCAGCAAAAAGCCAGAAGTGAAGCTGTGGCTGACTAGCCTTAAGCAAAAAAAGCTCAGAACAGCGCTAAGCCCTGAGTTCAAGCCCTAGAACTGGCAGAAAAGGAAAAAACAAAGACATTGAAAAAAAGAGATACACTGAAATAAATAAAAGTACACGCATCTCCCCAAGTGTTCCAGATCCTTCGTCCACTGAAATTCATCTCTTCTCAGAAATAAACTTAATTTGATAATAATGTACATTTGTGGTCACAAATGTAGAGTGGGAATGATGTCCCCATGCTCAGCACAAGGCTGAAATAAGTCATATTCACAACTATGACAACTGAAGAAAAACCTGTAATCTTCAGTATACGTCCTATTTGAAATAATCTTTTCATTGGAATGTCCTCTCAAATATGCACTCTTTAAACCAAGTTCTGTCCATCCCTGTTTTAATTACATAACAGTGTTCTTAGGAACTATACTAAAGTTCCACTGAGCCCTCTCAAATCCAATCCAATATACAACTACAGGCTGTATATACTGAGATATAAATAATGACTACTTTAGTTGAGGAATGAGTTTCTCCACATAATAACAACAAATAAATACCACACTAATTTTCGTAGTTCACTTTTTTATTAGGTTTTTTTTTTTCCTGGTCAACAGTACACTTGGGAATTATACTGTACCAGGCATAAGAAGATTTCTACCACAGGGACATTTTGTATTCAGAATCCAATATAAATATTTCTAGTCAGACATTTCCATGGCTATATATATTTGGTTGCTTGATTTATATGCATAGAAAGAAACAGTTGTCATAACTGTAAAAAGCAGTACTTAACAAGTACCTTTAAATGATTGGAAGTTTTCTTTTAATATTACAATACTGCTTATTGGCTTGGAAACTAGGTCGCCCTACATGATATTTTGATTTTTTTTTCCTCAAAGGCATCATGAGATAGTATTCCCCTCATTCTTTTATTCCTGTATTTTTAGCCTTCTAGTTGAGTTAGGGACCATTTTGTCAGAAATCATTTTAGCACTGTAATAATAATAATAATAATAAAAAGCTCTGTTAAGGGTAGATTATATACCATAATGATTTTCAGACTTCTTTTTATAAAAAAGGTATCTGAAGACTCTAAACAGGCACATGCATACTCAGGGTAAAGGGAACAAAACCTGGAGGAGACTGCCAATCCACAAAACCTTCTGGTCCTCAATGCCTTCAAATAAATACAAATATTTTTAAAAAATCAGAAAAAGAAAAAGCAAAAACAGAAGAAAACAGAAAAGCAGTCTCTTCCACTTCCTGGAGAGTCTGTTTCAGGAACTTCTTGGGCCTGAAGATTAGTCCTCTGTCTTCCGGGCCAATCTGCAGAAAGTCCAGTTGTGTTCCACTGTGTTCTCATTGGCCCGCTCACTCATGTGATGTACCCGAGTGTTACGGATTGTGAACCCTTGTTTTGTAATATACTCCATCAGGTGCACCCGGAGAGACACTTCCTGGTGATAATCACAAGGTCCAAACGTAAAGGAAACCTGGCAGTCTCTGGTGTCCATCATGTGCTTATTCCACTTGGTAAAATAATTGGAGATGCCTTCTAGTAAGGAATGGACCTTGGTGGTGATGGTTAACTGAGTTATGATGACAGCCACTGGATTGGAATACTTGGAAAGCTTCCGAGTACTAGAGAGCTCCACAACCTCTTCAAAAGTATCCATGGGATACAAAGGCTTAGGGTCATTGAGACACTGAATCAAGGGTTCAATCTGGTAAAAATCTGCTTCTTTCCGAAGCAGGTCAAATTCCTTAAAATCCAGGGGTAGGGTCAGCTCTGAAGTTCTTAAGAAGTTGAGGACATATCGGAAGAGAGGCCCATCTCGATCAATGAAGTAATTGCCTTGAGGGTCTCGAGCTGTGGGGAAGTCTCCCCCAAACATAGCTCCAAGCATGGAATCCGGGTAACGCGTCAGTGTAGTGAGGGACGTGGTATACAAGTGTCCACCTACATTTAATGTGACTGGGTCAGTCATCTGAAATTTTCAAAAACATCATCAGTCACCTGAGGTTCATAAAATCTGAACTTTGATGAATAAAGAACAATAACAATATCAACCAAGCATAGGAGTCCTTCAGACTCTACCAGAGATGGTAATCCTATAATGCTCAGTAATAAGCCCACTTACATGAGGGGATCTAACATTTGCTTCCAATAGGAAGGAAGAAGGATAAATCCAATCCTTTAAAGATTTACTCAAAGATTAGAGGGCATGACCTTCAGAGCCATGTAGTTTCAGGCCCAGATCTAGAGTCTTCAAGTCAAAATATACTATAGGAAGAGAGAGGACAAACTAAAATATCATATTTTGTTGCTTTGTTCTAATTAAGGAAAAAACCTTCAATCTTCTTAACTCAATTTAACATAATACAATTAAAATGATCTAATAAAGACAAATACTTCCAAAATTTCTAAGAAAAGCAAGTCATCAAAAAGTGGGTGTGTTTTGTGCCAGTACTGGGGCTTGAACTCAGGGCATGGGGTGCTGTCATTTTGGTCAGTCATGGGGCTTGAACTCAGGGCCTGGTTTCTGAGCCTGGGCTTTTTTGCTCAAGGCTAGTGCTCTACCAGCGTAAACCATACCTCCACTTCTGGCTTTTTGGTGATGAACTGGAGCTAGGAGTCTCACAGACTTTTCTTTTCTAAGCTGGCTTCAAACCTTGATCCTCAGATCTCAGCCTCCTGAATAGCTAGGATTATAGATATATGCTACCAGCACCCAGCTTCCCTTAGCTTTTTTGCTCAAGGTTGGTTCTCTACCACTTTGAGCCATACTTTCATTTGCAGCTTTTTGCTGGTAATTGGAGCTAGGAGTCACAGATGTTCTTTTCTGAGCTGGCTTCAAATTGAGAACCTCAGATCTCAGCCTCCTAAGTAGCTAGGATTATAAGCATGAGCCATTGGTGCCTTGCATGAAACTTTTTTTTTTGGTTAAAGGGCTTGAACTCTGGGCCTGGGTGCTGTCCCTGAACTCTTCAGCTCAAGGCTAACACTCTACCACTTGAGCCACAGCACCACTTTTGGTTTTCTGGTGGTTAATTGGAGATACAAGTCTCACGATTTTCCTGCCCAGGCTGGCTCTGAACCATGATCCTCAGATCTCAGCCTCCTTGAGTAGCTAGGGTTACAGGCGAGAGCCATCGGTGCCCAGCTCGAAACGTAATTTAAAAATAAAAACTGGGGCTGGGAAGGTGGCTCAGTGGTCAAGTGCTTGCCTTGCATGCATAAGGCCCTCGGTTTGATTCCTCAGCATCACATAAGCAGAAAAAAAGCTGAGGGACAGCGCCCAGGCCCATAGTTCAGGCCCATGACCGGACCCCAAAAACAAAAAAATAAATAAATAAAAATAAAACTGTGGGGCTGGGAGGGTGGCTCAGTGGTAGAGCGCTTGCCTTGCATGCATGAGGCCCTGGGTTCGATTCTTCAGCACTACATAAGCAAAAAGAAAAAACCCGGAAGCGGCGCTACGGCTCAAGTGGTAGAGAGGTAGCCTTGAGCTGAAGAGCTGAGGGACAGCACCCAGGCTCAGAGTTTAGGCCCCACGACCGGATCCCCCCCCCAAAAAAAAAATAAAATAAAAACTGTGCAAGTTTAATTCTAATAGCTTGGCACTTTCCCTCAGCTCTTCAGTTCAAGGCTAGCACTCTACCACTTGAGCCACAGCACCACTTCTGGCTTTTTTCTTTTTGCTTATGTGGTGCTGGGGAATCAAACCCAGGGCCTCATGCATGCAAGGCAAGCACTCTACCACTGAGCCACCTTCCCAGCCCCCCTCCTTTTTTTTTTTTTAATGCTATTACTGGGTCATTAACTCTGGTCCTTGTGCTCTCACTCTAGCACTCAACCACTTGAACTACCCCTTCATTTCTGGCTTTTTCTCTTTTTTGGCTGATAAACTGGAAATAATATTTGTCTGCCCAGGCTGGCTTTGAACCTCAATCTTCAGAGCACAGCCTCCTGAGTAGCTAGGACTGTAAATGTAAGCCACTGACACTGAGCTTCTAATAACTTTTTCATGGAAATAATAGTTCCAAACACTAAGTTAAAATATACACTTTAGCTAACCATATAACCCAAAAGCTAATAGAGGCTTTAAATTTCATTATCTAATAGTATATTCACTTTTGTAACATTAATGTTGCAAGCTGACCTTTAGAGAAGCAAGCTTTTCTAAATAACACATACCACTGGCTTTAAAGTTTATATTAAGAAAAAAAAAAAAGAATCTTCAGGTATTAGGAAAACAAATTATTTCTTACCAGAGGAAAAGAAATAGGAGGGAGACAAGCACACCCAAATGTGCAAATGGGGCAAGAGGCACAGTCAGGTCTAACTGCTAATGCCCAACCACAAGGAAGCTTCCTTATCCCATTACCTTCTGGGCCTTCCAAGAGTTTTTTGAGCAAGATACTCCAAAGACCAACATTCCCTGTATCCCTAAAGTAAGTGATTACAAAAAGTCACTTAACCATCCAGGCACTGGTGGCTCATGCCTGTAATCCTAGTTACTCAGGAGGCTGAGATCTGAGGATCACTGTTCAAAGCCATCCTAGGCAGGAAAGTCTGTGAGGCTCTGATCTCCAATTAACCACCAGAAAATCAGAAGTGACATTGTGGTTCAAAGTGGTACAGTGCTAACCTTGAGCAAAAAGAGCTCAAGGACAGAGCCCAGGTCCTGAGTTCAAGGCCATCAAAAAAAAAAAAAAGTCACTTAACAGTCTGTATTGAGTCTGTATCCATTAAAACACCAAAACAAACAAAAATGCCCTCCAAAGTCATACAAATAAATGGGAGGGGCAGTTTGCACAATTCCTAATTTTTATCTGTATATATTATAACTAGGATGCATCAGGAAAAAAGAAACAAAAGCAAGTTGCCAGCTTTCCAGTGAGCCACCAGCCACTCACCATATAGCCCCAGTCTCCATTATCCATCTGCTCCAGCGCTGCGTCTCCAGGGGCCCAGATTCCAGGGAAACTTTGGAAGGAGAAAATGGATATATGATAGCACATGTAACTCTGTAAACTGCAAATAAAGCTCTTGCCACCCGACAGAACAGGCCAAGTACCCAGTACTAAAACCTACTCCAGAACTAGGCATTCAGGAAGCTTGAGGCAGGAGAATCACAAGTTTGAGGCCAGCCAGGCTACCTGGTGAGCTCTTGTCTCAGAAAACAAACATATAAAACAACAAAAACCTACGGTGCGACCAAGATCTGAGAAGAAAACATCCCTCGTCTCCATGCTCATCCTCTGGAGACCATCATACACGGGGCAGGAACTCTCCTATACTCAGAAAACATGCAGCAGCATGCAAAGTTAACTGCTCAAATCTTGTCTCTCTTCTCTAAAAATCTAATTTTAAGAATTTTTGTACAAAAACATCATGATTAACTTCTACAACTTATGTCATGACAAACCTATGATTAGTCTTTGTCAGAAAGGTCATTTACAGGAAAGGGAAAACTTCATCAGCATTCCAGCAGCATAATCTAAACATCTCAGTAAAAACATGTAACACCATAAATGTCCAAGACATCAAGGTCAATTTCCAGGGGAAAGACATCAAAATAGTATTTATCTTTAAAAACAAAACTAATTATACTTCAATAATGCAGTATTTCTTTTTGTGTAATAGTCAGAACAAATGGAAAGCAACTGAAATGACAAACTATTAGCATGGGGGTAAAAGAACCTCACAGGGGGCTGGGAAGGTGGCTCAGTGGTAGAGAGCATGCCTTGTATGCCTGAGGTCCTGGGTTCAATTCCTCAGCACCACATAAGCAAAAAGAAAAAAGCCGGAAGTGGTGCTATGGCTCAAGTGGTAGAGTGCTAGCCTTGAGCTGAAGAGCTGAGGGACAGCACCCAGGCCCAGAGTTTAGGCCCCACGACTGGACCCCCCCCCAAAAAAAAAGAACCTCACAGATCAGTCTGAGAGTCAACCAGGCAGTACTTGCAGCCAACAGCCTTAGAAAAATGACCAATACCTATATAGTAAGGATGCTAGTTTGAATTTGTCTTGCTTTACACTTCAAGAGGATTCCCACAGTCTTCCAGCTACTGAACTGCCAAAGCCAGTTCCCTCTCATTCCCCAAAGCAACCTGCAAAGCAACCTGCAAAGTTAAATGACAAAAGCTCTGGCAAGTGATGGTCAGAAACACTGACTTGTCAGTATTCAGCCAGTCTTTGAGCAAATGCACTTTTCCCACTTTTAGAAAAATCTGGCATACAATTCTCAGAACAAGCCCAGGCTACAGAAGATCACAAAGGCTCTTTCTCAAAAGGTCACTCAGGCATGTAGAGAACATTTGCATAGCACAGCATGGGCTGAAATCGGAGCCTGGAGCATCCATTTTCTCTACCTTGCAAATTCTTCAAAGCAAAACAAGCTAAAATGTGGAGCAAATGAGGATGTAGTCAGTTTTTATTCTTTACACTCAGCAGTTGGATGTAGATAGGCCTCTACATGCTACAGGATAAGAAATGAAACAAATGTCAAACTCAGGGCTCTTGTGACAGCCTTCCATTCCTCTCGCTTGCTTCACAAACAGAACCAAGAAATATGCTTTACCAGTCTGTCTTGTCAGCCTCTGATTCCATTCCTAATAACAACAAATTAGTAGTGATTTGAAAGGTCAGTCATCCAAAAATTCTGGTAAATGCTCATCTTTGGTATTTTCTCCTTACCCAAAGTATTCTTTCATGAAAGCTTCAATAATCAATCCCTTAATCAATCTATTGTAGTTCAACCATGTTGGGAGGGAACACCTATGTGCAATGTGAACAAACAGAAAGGGTAAAGTACAATGCCTGCCCTCAAGGGGCTTTCACTCTACAGAAGAAGGAAAACACACAAAACTGAAAACAAAAGGAATTCCACAGTGTATAGCTAGATGGCCTGGCAGGGCCTGTAGGAGGAAGATTCCAAATGGGAAAATGGAGAACTCCGGGGAAGGGTTCAGTCAGAAGAAAATTTGCACAACCAGAGAAGGGACTCTAGAATTAAAGAAAACATTTGCACAGCACGTGAAAGTCTTTTATCCTCATGGACTAAGCCAGTAGGCCCAGCATAGATTATAGTCCCCATTTTAGAGATGCAAAACAGAGAAACAGGGTGGATTAAATGGCTCAAACTCTACCACTCAAAAGTAAATTTGTTTACTATCATTTGAAATTGGGGCCTTAAACTCACAACTGGTGCCCTACTACTGGGCCTATCCTCCAGCCCTTCTTTGTAGGGGTTATTCTGGAGATGCAGTCTTCTCAGATTTTTTCTGGCCAGACTGGCTTCAAATCTCTACCCTCCAGACCTCAGTCTCCTAAGTAGCTAGTGTTGGCCTAGACTTGAGTTTCTGATTCCTGGTCTACATCTTTCCATAATATCTCTCTTGGATAGAAACCTAAAGAACAGAACCCAAGAAAACAAGACAAGAGAATTAATTTGAGACTTACTATAGCCACCTATTAACTATATTTGCCTACTGTAAGATTTACTTTACAGGGGGTAGAGAGGGGAAGGGATGGTATGGGGAAACAAAAGAGGAGGCAACAATGCTTGATAAGAAATGTACTCACTATCTTGCCCATGTAATTGTAACCCCTCTGTTTGGTATTTTCACAATAATAAAAAAAATTAAAAAAAGATTTACTGGGCTGGGAAGGTGGCTCAGTGGTAGAGCGCATGCCTTGTATGCCTGAGGCCCTGGATTCAATTCCTCAGTACCACATAAGCAAAAAGAAAAAAACTGGAAGTGGCACTGTGGCTTAAGTGGTAGAGGGCTAGCCTTGAGCTGAAGAGCTGAGGGACAGCGCCCAGGCCCAGAGTTTAGGCCTCACGGACCCAAAAAGAGATTTACTTTACAGTAACTCTACCTAATCAAACAATTATAATGGGTTTGTAAAGATTCCTTAAGAATAAGGAAAAATGGCAGGTACTTACTCATAACGGCTGTTGCCTGGTTTCAAATGACAAAGAATTCTAATTCAACCTAGTGGCTCTTACCTACAATCCTAGCTTAGGGTTCCAGACCCAAAGCCAACCCCAGCAGAAAACACTGTGAGACTCCAGTTCCAATTAACCAGCAAAAAGCTAAACTGGAGGCACAGCTCAAGTGGTAGAGCAACTGTTGTAAGAAAGAAAGTCAAGAGTGAGAACATAAGACCCTGAATTTCAAGCCCTGGTACCAGCACTAAAAATAAATAAATAAATAAATAAATAAAATCTAATCTATGAATTATCCAAATGGCCAATAAAAAATGAAAAAACAAAGACAAAAGATGAACAAATACCAATATAACAGTTGCTAGGGGGGCTGGGAAGGTGGCTCAGTGGTAGAGCGCTTGCCTTGCATGCATGAGGCCCTGGGTTCAATTCCTAGCACCACTTAAGCAAAAAGAAAAAAGCCGGAAGTGGCGCTGTGGCTCAAGTAATAGAGTGCTTGCCTTGAGCTGAAAAACTGAGGGACAGTGCCCAGGCCCAGAGTTCAGGCCCCACGACTGGACCCCCCCCCAAAAAAAAAAAGAAATGGAAAAAGACAAAAGATCAACAAATACCAATATAACAGCTGCTATGGGGGCTGGGAAAGGTGGCTCAGTGGTAGAGTGCCTGCCTTGCATGCATGAGGCCCTGGGTTCGATTCCTGAGCACCACATAAGCAGAAAAAAGCCAGTGGTGCTGTGGCTCAAGTGGTAGAGTGCTAGCCTTGAGCTGAAGAGCTGATGGACAGCACCCAGGCCCCGAGTTCAAGCCCCACGACTGGCAAAAAAAAAAAGTTGCCATGTCCACTACCACTAATCCTTTTCCAACTTCTAAAAAAGGCAAGTTTTTGAGCAGTAATACTAAGTAAATTAGCAAGGTATCAGTGCCTTACGCCTGCAATCCTAGCTACCCAGGAAGCAGAGATCTGAGAATCAGACGGCTCAAAGCCAGTCTGAGCAGGAAAGTCCATGAGAATCTTATCTCCAACTAAATACCAAAAAAGCCAGAAGTGGAGCTGTGGCTCAAGTGGTAGAACACTAGCCTTGAGCAAATAAGCTCAGGGATAACACTCAAGCCCTGAGTTCAAGCCCCAGGATACACACACACATAGGACACACAGGACACACACACACATACACACACTCAAGCCCTGAGTTCAAGCCCCAGGATACATATACACAGGACGCACACACACACAAATTAGATGGGACTCCTGAATCTGCTCCACACAGGACACACACACACACACACACACACTCAAGCCCCAGGATACATACACACAGGACACACACACACAAATTAGATGGGACTCCTGAATCTGCTCCACACAGGACACACACACACACACACACACACACACACACACACACATGCACGCACGCAGGCGCGCGCGTAAATTAGATGGGACTCCATGGCAAAAGCTGCCTCAGAAGACCATAATGAAAGCTCAAGATAAGTAATTCAGGAAAGCAATTACCTGATCTACATGTGCCTGTGTTTCTTTTTTTTTTTTGTGCCTGTGTTTCTTAAAAAGCATCCCAAAGCCTTCTTGTGCTTGTATATAAGATCTCAAAATAAACATGTCACTACTAGTCACTTTCATTAACAATGACTAAACAATCTAAAAAGATCAAATTGTTTATTAGTAAGCTCAATGAGAAAAACAGAGTATTGGTTTAAATTTTATCTGTCTAATCCTTATAAACATCCTCTGTAGAGATTCTTGAACACAACAGCAGCAGCAGCAGCAGGATTCCTGCTTGGCCAATAGCTGGATTCTGAATTTATGACCCAACATCTCAAGACTATGCAGATGAATGAAAACATAATCCAAAAGAATTTCCAGAACAACTTCAATTTCTTCTACTAAATCATTTTCCAGAGCTACTAACAATTAGAAAATGATTCATTTGCTTTTCATCTTCTTTCCCTCCTGGCCCAGTCTCCAGTGGTGGGCTTAATGAAAACTTTACAGGACCACAATTCAGGCAGTGGAGAGAAGAGCTGCAAATGACCCTACTTTACTTGAAGTAAAAGAAACATCTAATATTTCAGATAATTCATGAGAAATGGAGATTATGAGGGCAACTTATTTTTAATCCTTTAAAATGCTTTTCCTTACTAAATACCACTAAAGAGGCAGTGAAAGTAACTGAGCACCATTATGAAGTTCAAAGGCTTTCTGACCTTGTAAAATCAGTTCACCTTAAAAGATCTGACCTTTGGCCCAAATAAAAATTCTTGTAACAAAAAAAAAAAAAAAAAGAAAAAAAAATTCTTGTAACAGCACTGGAAATTCACTTGTGTATAAGCATCAAAGGTTACTGAAGCTAATATATAAATTCTGATGGTATGTTAGATAATTAAAGACCTATTAAAGGATGGAGCCAGGCATCGGTGGCTCAAGCCTGTAATCCTAGCTACTCAGGAGGCTGAGATCTGAGGGTCATGGTTCAAAGCCGTGAGACTCTAATCTCCAATAAACTACCAGGAAACCAGAAGTGGCGCTGTGGCTCAAGTGGTAAAGTGCTTGCCTTGAGCTGAAGAGCTGGGTGAGACACAGCGCCAGACCCAGAGTTCAAGCCCCACGACCAAAAAAAGAAAAAAAAGTAAAAAATGGATATGTTGAAAGGGGTGATACAGATAAAGCACAAATACTTAAAGATAATAGAAATAAAATATAAGAGTAACTAAAC